ATTAATATAATTAACGATACTTAGTTATACTGCAGTATCTACAGTTCTCAATCAGGTTCCATGGTCCATTGTGCGAGGTGCTGAACAAAACACATGAAGACATAATCCCTGCCCCCCTCCAAAGGTTTTACAATCAAAGGCCTTAATCCTGCAAAGACTTGACTCCCCCTCCCTCTGGAGCAGCTTTATGCACTGTGAATAGTGCCCCACTGAAGCAGTGAGGCTACTCATGGTGCATAAAGCTAAACATGTGCAGGATCAGGGGCTAATCCATAGCCTACTGAAGTCAAAGCCAGTCTTTTCGTTCACTTCAATGGGCATTGGATCAGGGCCTAAGTGAGCTTGTAACTGCGGGTTGGGTTTTTGGGATTTCGTATTAGTGATGTGCTAGATCAGGGATCAGCAACCTTTGGCACGCAGCCCGTCAGGAAAAGCTCCTGGCAGGCTGGGACAGTTTGTTTACCTGCCGCGTCCGCAGGTTCGGCCGATCACAGCTCCCACTGGCCGCACTTCGCCGTCCCAGGCCAATGGGGGCTGCGGGAAGCGGCGCGGGCCGAGCGATGTGCTGGCTGTCGCTTCCCACAGCCCCCATTGGTCTGGGACAGCGAACCACGGCCAGTGGGAGCTGCGATTGGCTGAACCTGCGGAAGCTGCAGGTAAACAAACCAGCCTGGCCCACCAGCGGATTTCCCTGGCAGGCTGTGTGCCAAAGGTTGCCGATCCCTGTGCTAGATGTACATAACATTCTAAAAAACTCAATTAATTAAAAAAACCCAACATTTTATTTAAGTGTTTCTTTAACCTAATGTCTGGAATACTGATTGATGTATTAAATTAAATTGTGTTGCTCAATATATTTTGTTTTGGGGCTGTAGGGTTTTTTAATTTTATCATATAGTTTGGGGGGGTTGTGTTTTAAAAAACTAATACAGCATTTTTTTAAAAATAAGAATGGGTTAATTTGCAATATTTTCAGATGACATGCATAATTTATGTATAATTAATGTGTAATCTTTTTTAATGAAACTTTTAAGTTAACCTATGGTGGAGAAAGATAGAAAAAGTGATCAAAAGAAAGGTGAGTGAGGGATAAAAGAGAGGAGAGGAGAGAGGCCAGGTTGAAATAAATTAAAATTACTTTCTTTTTTGGGCTAAGTGAATTTCTCCAGTGCAACAATTTGAGATAAAATGGGTACATATTCCATCTTTAAAAAAAAAATCTTCCACTGGAACAGTTTCAAATCTCCTATGGCCGCTGCAAAATTCATACTTTAAATAATCCCATTAGAGGTGTTTGTTACCTGCAACTGAGAAAGATTTTTTTTTTTTTTAAAGATCTAGTTATTTGGGAAAGCACCCCTTTGGCCTTGAATAATGGGAAGCTCCCAGAGAATGAAGAACCTACCTTGGCAAAAATGTAAGACCAGTGGGAAAACCATTAACACTAATCCTTAAAAAGTCCCATGGCATGCTCTGTCTCTTTCTCATATTTAAGTAGTCAAACATGCTGACATACTAGGGAAAAGAAAAGGAAGAAAAGAAACTACCAAAATACAGGAAAGAAAAATAATGTAAGATTATGAAGCACTTTAGAATGTGTACATAATTACTGCTCAATTTGTTGAATGTGCATATACTTCTTTAAGATCACACAGAATGTAAATGCTATGGTGTCATCACTGCTGGGGAGGGTGATCCAAGTTTAAGCACTAACACAGGGGTAGGCAACCTATGGCACACGTGCCAAAGGCGGTACTCGAGCTGATTTTCAGTGGCACTCACACTGCCCAGGTCCTGGCCACCGGTCCTGGCCACCGGTCCGGGGGGCTCTGCATTTTAATTTAATTTTAAATGAAACTTCTTAAACATTTTAAAAACCTTATTTACTTTACATACAACAATCGTTTAGTTATATATTGTAGACTTATAGAAAGAGATCTTCTAAAATCGTTAACATGTATGACTGGCATGCGAAACCATAAATTAGAGTGAATAAAAGAAGACTCGGCACACCGCTTCTGAAAGGTTGCTGACCCCTGCACTAACGTATACTGATGCAACAGATTAGCCGGAAAATTTTGACCAGCTATAATTGGGCATCACTCTTCAGTGACCTTTCTGTCTCCTCTGGGAGTGGTGGTGATGAGCTCCATGACACTCTCCTCAGTTCCAAAGACAGTTGCACCTCAGGCCAATGAAAGAGGGAGGAGCACAGTGAAGAGAAGAGATGAAATAGGGAATTCTCCACAGACAACCCTACCATCTAAAAACAAGCAAAGAACTTTACTGGATTGAGAGGCCAATATCCAAATTCTGCCTCTATAGAAATGCTGAGTTACTGCATCACTTCCTTAATTGCTCTTAGTAGGAAGTATGAGTCATTTCATTCTCTTGTCTATCTTTAGACACAATCCAGGAAGGGTCAGATTATAGAATCATCTCTGAATTAGAAACGTCCTCTTAAACGGCTACAGTTAAGAGCTGGTTGATGTTTTTATCAGTCCTGCTTTTCAGGAGCTTAAGCAAACAAACAAAAACCAACAACACTGGTAGCATCCAACAACCACTAGTCCAAATTCAGGCCTGGTCCACACTACCCCCCCACTACGTTAATAACGTAGCTGAATTCGAAGTACCTTAGTCCGAACTTACCGCGGGTCCAGACGTGGCAGGAAGGCTCCCCCGTCGATGCCGCATACTCCTCTCGCTGAGCTGGAGTACCGGCGTCGACGGCAAGCACTTCCGGGATCAATCCGGGATCGATTTATCGCGTCTAGACAAGACACAATAAATCGATCCCAGAACATCGATTGCCTGCCGTTGGACCCGGAGGTAAGTGTAGACGTACCCTCACATAAAAAAATCCTTTTTCTTTTGTACTGCATCTATGTTAAAGGCACAGCTTCTTAGACGAAAGGCTAGTTACGGAAGGATCAAAGACAGGAAAGCAAGCAATAAACTGCCTTTAAACAGTTAAGTGCAGGAGGACTCATCACAAGGGAATGCTTGTGTGGCTGCTAAACACATTTAATCCCATTACATAAAACTCATTTATTCATCTATATTATCTCAGGTTAACAAACATCATTCCCACCCACTTCCCAGCAGACACCTCTCAGAAAGGTCCCATTACACTGATGGCCACCAGGAGCTCCTCTCTTTTTACTGGAGGTTGTAACAGGCACTCCACAGGTGCCATTCAGCCCTGAATGTTCATGGCTTTCTGACACAATCGTTTTTCTTAAGCAGAACAATTTAAATGCTATGGGCCTGATTTTCACAAGTGCTGAACTCTCACGAATGCAACTGAAGTCGAAGAGAGAGACTGGTTGCCAGTATGTCTGAAAATTAGGCCCTAAGTCACCAACGATTCAAACATGATTTTCGACTGTCTGGCTAAGACCACTGTTAGTCTGTTAAATGTACTTCGTTATTTACACAGCAGCATGTAAATGCATGTGTTAGCATTATCTTTAAACTGAGAGGGGGATTAAAAAAAATCTCACAAAACCGCAATAAGAATGTAGGAGCTATGCAAGTAGAGGAAAGAAATGGCAGCATTGCTTGTTTAGCTACCTGTAAGCGAATGACTCAATGGTTGAATTTTAATGCGGAAACCACCAAATATGTACAAAACTGTGAACATTTACTAACCTTGGTTCAACTGCCTGCCCAGGCATACATGTTTATAATAAAACCAAACAGTGGTCAGCTATTCACTGAAAGACACGAGAGCAGCAACCGCAAAACACTACAGAAAACCATGCTGTATGAGAACAAAGTTGCCATGCTAGTCTGCACAGAACAATTCATGTTCCACCACACGCAAAGTGTTCATTGCCTCCCCCAACCCCCCCCCCCCCCCTTTTTTTTTTATAAAGAGAAGGGAATTCATGTAGTAATATAGTACAGATCTCACAATCACATTCTCTGTGTGCAGGCATATGCCATAAATCACTACAAAAAATATAATGCACCGTGAATCTGTATGTGTCCTCCCAATTCCCATGTGACACTCAATGAGCACAGGGCTCCAAGCAGGTGTACTTGTCGTAAACATGTAGGTCTTCGTAGTTCTGTTTCAATATTTGGCAAGGACTCTATAGCTCTGTCTATGCTGCACGCTCTCTGCAGATGAAGGTGTGCAGAAGTGCCTATACCCTCCATCGTCCACACGCAAAGCCATTAAACCCACACCTAGTACGCAACTACATTCCGAGCTGGTGAGCTTGTCTAGGGTGTGGATGGGTGCGTGGGTTGAGCGATGACCTGCCCACCTACAAGCCTGCTTTGCAGTGTAGAGGTAGCAAAGGTGCGAATACCTGGGCTCAAGCCTTACCAGTCCTCTACTGTCATTGCCATAATTCCCCATGCCCTTATCTTCTGGGCCTTCTACACTTGCCCTCTATGCACTGGAAGCTGCCTCAGCATTTAACCCTTCATTTCCTACATACCATGTTCCACTTTCTTATTATTCTCTGAACAGCGGAGCACAGCATGGAATATGCCTTGCACCCTGCATGCTGCTAGCTAGCCAGAGGATCATACCAGGGTACCAGTTACACTGAGTACTCCCAGGAGTATGTTTTAACAGGACTTTGGACCAGGCTTGATATTTATGTATAAGCCTTCCAGTCATCACTGTAATACTGGTACACACGCTCCCCATATAAAAAAAGAACTCTCCGCGCATGATATTAAAACACTGGATCACTGAAGCCCATTTGTGCTCTTTTATTACAAAGGAGGTAGAGAAAAGCACTAGACTGTGTGCCAAGAAAAGAAGACACGACCCTGCTCCAAACTCTGTGGATATGCATGGGGTGTTGGGGAAAGTTGCACCAGGGCATCTTCAGCCTGGCTAAAGCTCAAAGCACAGGTCCTTGATCTATCTGCTGGAGAATCTCCTCACACATCAGAGGAACTCTCCACAACAGAAACATTGCAACACATGCAGTGATCCTCTCTCTCTCATACATACACACATTACTCAGTTGCTACTAGTTCTCACCATTAAGCGTCTGGTCTGTTCCCAACACATTCCATTCTGCTGGCAGTTTCAGATGCCGAAATGCCAAAACCACTTTCTCATCCAGAAAATCCACATCCCCAGAGGGAGGCCTTGACCGGTCCAGGAATCTTGTGAAGTTCAGTGCTTGCTGGTTTCCAGCGCAGGTTGCTAGGAACTGAGCTGCATCATAGGCCTCATCCTGAATGAACTGAAAACTTTCCTCTGCCACCACTAGAACAGGAAGCCCTTCCTTGGCAGCGCAAAGTGCCACCTTCACTGTCTCACAGCAGTCATGGCCTGTAAAATAAAACCAAGAAAATGAACATAATTGTAATGGAGAAGAGAAATGACTAAGCTAAAGCAACATGGGTCTGGACATTGATCACCCCATTAGTATATACACACCCGCACGTGGCGTCCCTTTACACATTATTTTTTGCGTATAAAGGAAAACACCGTATGGCAAAAAGTTCTCAGTGATGCCTCCTGCATGAGAACCCACTCACTCTCTTATCTAGTGATCACATTACAGCCTTCTTGTTCGTGGGCTAACTTCAGCCACCAAGAGACAAATTCAGGACTGCTAATTGACTCAGGGGAAGGTTTTCAGAATCAAAAAGGGGAGTAAGGCTCTTCACTCTCATTGAAAGTCAAGAGGAGTGTGACACTTAACTCCCATTTGGCCTTTGAAAATCTCCCCCTTAGTTCATAGAGCCATATTTTAAAGAATACTGTGAGACCATGGCAGCTCATCAGAAATAAAGCACAGGTGTCAGCATTCGGAGCACCTTGCCAGTGAAGACAATGAACTAATTGCACTTAGGCAACCAAAAAGCAACAATTAATACTGGAACATAACATGCTTCAGACATGTTCTATGTGTGCGGTTACACCTCTTTTGTTCAACGCTGCACCTGCCATTTGGATTTGATTTCACATGACAGAACTAAGCTTGCTGCATTCCAGAGAACAGGGAAATTGCTGCTTTTCATATTTTCCAAAAAAGAGAGTGAGAGAAGCTTATTTTCACAGCTCTGCTGACTTTTCATTTACTTATTTTAATGAAAGGCCAGTGCAACAGGGCAGCAGTTCCCTAGACCCAGAAAATGCAAGATAAACTCCCCTGCAATTTAAAAGGTGGGGGAAAAAAATCTCATCTTTTTAGCATGACCGACACTTAAAATTGTCTGACAAGCCCCTTTAATAATAAGGTTTATGTTTCAAGTTCAATGTTCTCCGCAGTCTCGGTCTCTCGCTCCAATGGTAGACTGACGTCATTGCTGCTTTTGCCAGAACAAGCACAGACCCTTCACTAATTACTGGAAAAGCTGCTCTCTCTACCCATGACCTCAGCATCTTACTACGTTGATCAAACCCTGTTTATTTATTTATTTTATCAAATAAAAGAGATGACGGATTTTTCACAATTGGGCTTGAACATTTCATTTTCCCACAGACATGGATGATGAGTGGGTAGCCTTCCCTTGTGTTTGGGAGTGGGTCTCAGTAATCACTTTTATTTATAAAGAAAAAAAGTTTCTAGCCCTTATGGTCAGGAAGAAAACCTTCCAGATATAACCAAATGCAGGTTTGTCTTCCCAGTCTGAAGACAGATTGCTCCAATGCCTCTGCTGTTGCTCCTTGATTTGTCAAGCATCAGCCAAATAGTCAGTTTCAGTAAAAAGGTCAGTTTCATCAGTGCTATTCAGGACTCTGTAGTCAGCAAATTGTCAAGTATCAGGTTAATGTCATGCTGCTTCCAGAGAAAAACATGTGCAACGAGGCAGGCAACAGAGGCTTCCACAGGAGAGGACACACAAAAACAGAGGCTAGGGGAGAAAGAGTAGCGGAGACCTCTCCCTGCAACCTGGAGGCTCTGGAATTAGCAGATGAAACACAAAACTCCTTCTCCCTTCCAGCAGCTAGAATGGAGTGGAGATTCAAATTTATCCAACACCTACTGATGTGAAAGATGAAGCAGTGGGTGTGGCAGAACCAGTGCTAAAATTGCTTAACTGCAAGAGAAGACAAAACCAATTTCGACACCATTTCTGAAACCTGTGGCTGAGCTCTGCTCAGAGCCAGGTCTGGAACCTGGTTTCTGAAATGATGCAAATTCTGGATTTGCAGTTTAACCATCCTTGCCACTAGTCTATGACACTTGTTGTCTGCAATAAGTACATTACTAATATAGACAAGTCTCCCACTCTGCCTTTCATTTATTCCTCGGGCTGCAGGCTTAGCCCTCTGGTAAGCTTTTCAATCCCTATTACCCCAAAATATTGATACAATGTACATAATACAGTAATGACATGGCATCATCCCATGGAAACCAGCTCAGGTGCTGCACGCTTTCTGTTTTCACCAACACAGACACTGTTCGCAACCTGCGGTGGCTGTTTACTAGGCTGTAAGGTTAAAAATAATTCATAATGAAAGACTCTCCATGACATACAGGACAAGTATGGCTTTTGCTGCTGCTATTTTTTAAACTCTAATTTTCTCTTTATTTCCAGAAGCGTCTCATCTGCAAAATGTGCCTATAATACCCCTGTGATGCTGACAGGCCAGCTCAGGTCAGAGCAATAGGTCAATTCACTTGTGTGAGAATATCAAAGAAATGTTACGTGTACTAATTCACTCACGTTTTAATTTAGTTCAAAGGAAATGTGAATGCTATTGCCTTCACTTATCTATTACTTGCTGATTACTATCGCATTACATCATTATGTATACCTTGTAATTGGATAATCTAGACCAAAGTGTGTGTGAGTGCTAAGATGAGATGATGTTTGAGTGTAAACTGCATGAAAACTAATGAAATGTTACTTGTATTGTTTTCACTTATCTATCCCAATTAGAATTGAATTTTGTACATCACTGTAACTAAATTACTTGTGAATACAATAGAAGCAAAATGCTAACTTCAAAGCAAGGGCTGTTGTGTTCAAGAATGGAAATTCACAAACTAAGTTTTACAATTGCTACTCATCAAAACCCACGTGGGTGAAGACACTGGTCAGATTGTCTTCTGAGAGCTGGATCTATAAATACTTGTCTAAGGGAATGATCCTGCATCTCTGAACTTTTTGGACACTCACAGGAAAGCATTCCAGACGCAAGACAAATCCCCCAAGTTACTTTGTGTAACCAAGAGAGACTTATGAAAACTAGCAGATTACTACATCTCTGATATCATTTTGGACTTACAAATTTTGACTCACCTGTTAATGTATTTTACCTGATTTAACCTCTCAATAATTCATTTATTTTTCTTACCCAATAAACCTTTAGTTCATTTACTAGAGAAATCGGCTGCTTGCTTTTGAGATCGAGAGTATCCACTGATGTGGGGTAAGCGACCAATCCTTTGGGATTGGGAGTAACCTGAAGTGGTGTGATTTTTTATTTTAATAACTTTTATCACTAAGTTCAGTTTGTCTGCATGGCAAGACAGGTGGGAGAGTCTAAGGGGACCGTCTGACTCCATGTAATACTGGTATAGTAATCCAGGAGTGCATATTTGTTATTGGCTTGGTGAAATCTAATTATAAAATATACCACCAGTTTGGGGTGTCTGCCCTATTTTCTGACAGTCTGATCTGAGATTGGCACTCAGATAGTTGTGAGCCTCTCCAGACAGTGTGACAACCCCTACTCTAACAGCCTGCCGTCACTCAGAATTCAGTCTGAACTCCCCCAAGCAACGCCAAGTAATAGTTAAGGGAGTGAGGTAATGCACGGACAAATAGTTCAGGTCATTCACTTCTTACAATTCCTCTGCCTATCTGACACTAGTACAGGCTTTTCAGTTAGGAGAGTTGCAAGAGAAATCCCAGGTGTGATATTTGGACTCCCGTTGTCAGATAAACTGGCACTGCACTCATGTTCTCATAGCAGACATCCATTAGCGATGCTGAACTGAGTTCCCATGAACAGAACACAGAGAGAGAGAGAGAGCCCAAACATCAGAGTTTCTGCACCCAATTTAAAGCAAAACCAGATGGGTGTTCAGTGCAGTGTACTGCAAACACTTTATGCACTGATCTGCAGACAGTAAAGGTCTCTCAGAACTCACACATAAAATAGCCAGTACAGCTTTCAGAGAAGGGAAGTGACAATTCATTTATATCTAATGGGATCAACCATGTGTTCTGCTAACTTAAGGGGCATGTTCTCCTAAAGGGTAACCGTATTCTATCCCCTCCAATGCTCTGATGTTCTCCTTCCCTCCATCTGACAAAACATCAGATTCAGGGGTGAGTGTCTGGGACAGGTTCTGACTTTGGCAATCAGTTCAAAAGAAAGAGGAGCAATTAAGTAACAAGCATGACAAATGCTAAGATTGCTCAAGAGGACCCTGCCCCCTGCTTTGAAATGTCTTCAGGAATGGTGCGTGCGAGTATGCTTCAAAACATGAATGCACACATACAGCCTTCTGAAGGGACCGTCTCCAGTGGGGTAACATTTCTCTCAGCTTCAAAGAGCCCCTTACAATAATATCTGGACTGCAACAACTCCTTCCCCAGAGCATGTCAAATAGCATTAGAAATGTTAGCTGAGTTTCCCAACATTTCTATGAAATAAGTGATAGTTAATGCGATTATGCTCATTTTACAGGTTGCAGAGCAAGGTTAAGTGATTTGCCCAAGATCAAACAATCAGTGACACTGATGGCATACTCAATTACTCCTGGTCACCTGTTCCCTGCTCTAACGACTACGTTGCAGGGATTTCCTTTACGTATGATAAGTACCAACTCATTTACTCTGAAAAACACAAACATGCTTGGTGTATGGAACAGTTCCCCTATGCTTACTACCGGGAATACTTACAACACTGCAGCCAGTCATTTGGTTATCTGAGGCACCCAGGGCCGGCTCCAGGCACCAGCAAAGGAAGCAGGTGCTTGGGGCAGCCAATGGAAAGGGGGGGCACATCCGGGTCTTCGGCGGCGGGTCCCTCAGTACCTCTCAGAGCGAAGGACTCACCGCCAAATTGCTGCCGAAGAATGAAGCGGCGCGGTAGAGCTGCTGCCAAAGTGCCACCGATCGCGGCTTTATCTTTTTTTTCCCCCCCCGCTTCGCCGCTTGGGGCGGCAAAAAAGCTGGAGCCGGCCCTGGAGGCACCATCTCAAAGCAGTCTCTCTCAATCTTTTCAGGTTCATCATCAACATCCAGCATGCATAGACTACTGAGGACCATTGTGCCAGCCAGAATGACCACAGCTGATGGCATCGCACCAGGCATTGTATACTGAAGTTCCCAAATCTGAGTCAATACCGCAAATCCAAGAAT